AGCTTCTAAAATCTGGGGTAAACAGCAGCTTGGAGGTTCCAGTCACAATCTTAATGTCCACGCTATCAGACTTGATCAAATCTACACCAACGCCTTTCTTAATGGACTGCTCAGTGTAATAACTACTGGATACAATTAGCATTAGCTGCAGTACAGCCTCACTGATTGCCATAGGCGCTGAGAGATCAGAGCTACTCTTGTCTGGCCTGACATCAGGTCGTGACTGGTCCAGCTCAAATCATAGCGCTGACTCTTGTACCTCTGACAGCATCAGACATGTTCTGATTTCAATTCTGTTTTTGTGTTCTGGTGGCTAAAAGACCCACAACAGTGACATCCCATCACAAATTCTGGCATAGGTCATTGGGAAGCAGAAACTACAGGCATATCTTCAAACCATACTGCACTTTAACCTCTGCTCTTCCAAACATCTCTACTGTAGGCATCTCAGGAAAGTTCTTACCAGACAGAGATAATGAGCGTGTGACATTTCAGCACGTGTCCCGCTGCACCGGAGAGGTTCAGACCCTGGTCTTCCTTGTGGCTAACATGTTGCGCCACGTGTGACAGTTTTCCAAGGGTTTCCCTCTTTCACAACCTATCTCTCACTTACTCTCTGACTCTTTCGCCAGCCCGCGCCACTCTGCAGCTTAGCAGCGACTGGGAGCAATGATTAACCAAACTGCAGGAGTGGGAGTGAGGGTGCGTCAAAGCAAGAGGGCTTACTACAGGAAAAAAGATTCCTAAACCTGGCTACTGACCCCTTTTCTATGTGGCGACACTAAACATTCCAGCCATTACACATGTGTGAAGTTGTGAGGTGAATTTGAAATCTGCCTCGAATACTTGGAGTATGCATGGACACCAAAATATGCTATTTCATCATCACTTCATGACTATAAGAAAATAAAAACTGCCTTTCCTAATTATCCTTTAGATGACTTCTATAACAAACTCATTGCTTCTGTTTCGGGAGTCCAGCTGCACAGTTTTCCTTAGTATTTAGTATTTATTTTTAGATATAATAACACCGAATGCCCCACAGCTGAAGACAAAACAAGACTCTCTCAATAATGAACATTCACTGCCTGTTACACTCAAAAAGCAACGCTAAATTAGAGCACTGGAGGATTTTTAAGACACAACCTGAGGACATAAGTTCACAGAACTCCCTTGCTTTATTTGTGCACATTTGTCAAGTACAATGTGTCTGCTCGGATGCCTTTAATGCAGGATGAGGGGAATCGCGTTGGCCATTCGATGGGAGCTCAATTGGAACTAATGGGCTTCGAGGTGTGAGGCTAATTAGGCTTCTATATTGTGCTGTTATGATAGCCTGCCAGATCTACGGTACTGCTGCTCCCTCTTAGCTTTTTCAGTCCATTGTGGCTTCAGACCAATCAAGGTCCTCTGAAACATGTGTTGTTAGACCCAGTGGTTCCCTGTTCCAGGAAATAATCTGGAGCTTTTAACACTTTTGCTGCACATTTGATGTAAGAGGTGAAACAACGGCTGAGAGTCGAGCCTTCCAAGCCAGATGGCTCTCTTGAGATGCTTGGGTCTGCTCTCTTTAGCTTCATCCAGAAACAAGTTAGCAAGCAAGAATGTTTCACCTCAGTGTCTGAAAATTATGCAGCACTTTTTTTTCTTTTAGATAAATACTTATGTTTAATTTCCTCTTAGACGACTTTGTGTTGATTAACCAAATGCTAAACAGATGCCAGTGTAACCTAAGAGGTTATTGCCCCTTTACACACACAGGATAGATGGCATCATGTTTGAATCATCCTTGGTCACTTATTTATGTTTGCGAGTGGAAGAAATACATTGAAAAACATAAGTGAATGACGCAAATCACCTGAATGTCCCAAACAACCTAAAAAAAAAAAAACGCTTTGTGCTCAAGTGCACATTGGATGGCTTAATACAATGGCCACTAACAATTACTGTTGTTTGTTGGAGAGTGCTTACCTTTCATTTGATTACATTGTCTGACAAATAAAATTACAAAAGAGTATGCATGCATGAATGTGGGGCAGAGGGGATCGGCAAGGATTAAAAACAAAACTCTCTGAAAAACACAATAGCTGTCCAGCTCAGAAAATGCCCCTGAGCAGCAGTATATCATTCAGCTTTCCAAACGCACAGGCACTAGTGAGAGCAAACACTAACTCTCTGACATCATCCAAATCCGACAGCTTTCCTCGCCACAGATGAGGTCTGGGTGCAATTTAAAAAATATATGATAGAGAAATATCTTTGTTTTTAAACTGTCAAACAGCAAAAACAATAAAACACATGATTATTAGAGTAAATGTGTGATATGTTCTCCCTGCTTCCCATAATTTAACAAATTTAGATAAAAGGCTAAAGCGCATACAGAAGACATTACATGCTTAGTGTTCAGGCATGAGAACCCTGTTATCTGATAACAGGGTGTTCAGGAAAAAAAGCATCGTGCTGCAACACGCTCTTTTACTTGTTTGGAGCAATCGAGATACTGCCTAAATCTACGCATCGTGCTCTGCTTGATTTACCTGATCTTCAGCATGACAGCACGCTAATCTGTTCCTGTGTAAAACATCAAATTCAACAACATGATTATTTCCCCCCTCTGATGTTCTGCAACCATACACATCCCACTGATTGCACAACAGTGGTTATGCATTTCAGTTGTTTTTCTGACCTTTCTCTTGCTTTCTCTTCAGCCACATATTTCCGATGCTTCCCAGGAATTCTTTCGAAAAACAACACAATGTTTTTGTCTAATTGCACATTGAGCTAGCACAATTGTTAATAGCTATTGTCGAAACTTTTCAAAGTATTTCTGGAAGGTTTGTTTCTTAGTTTGCAGAAAAACTTTGAATATATACAAATCATGAAGACTTTAAATACAGTGACAGTTACATTTAATTTAAGCTTGACTCAGCAGAACGTTTATCTTGACAGACAGCTTCCTGTTCATCCTCTACTTTAACAATAGGAACATGTAAAATAAAACCGACTAGATTCTTATTGATTTAAAAAAGATGCTAAAATGCCACCACCGGCAGGAGGGACGTAGTGCAGGGGTCTCCAGGGATGGAGACCCCGGCCTACTGATCCCTGGGAACCAAAACTAGTGATTGGGACACGGAACATCGCTTCTTTGGAGAGGAAGGAGCCTGAGCTAGTGTGTGAGGTTTAGAGGTACCAACAAGATATAGTTGGGCTCACCTCATCAAGCAACTCACCTCAAACCCGAGCAGTGTTCTGTTAATGGACATGGTGTTTGTCCATAACAAACTGTCAACTGATCATCACCTCGTGGTGGGTTGGATCAGGTGGTGGGGGAGGATGCTGGGCAGACCTGGGGCACCTAAATGTATAGTGAGGGTGCCATATAAAAGGCTGGCAGACGCCTTGGTCAGCGAGATTCACAAGGTCTTAGACTCCCACCACTCCCATCGCAGAGCTTCGTGAGCATTCAAGGAAACTGGGAACATTGAATCCAAATAGACCATGTTCAGCACCTCCCTTGCTAAAGCTGCTGCACTGAGCTGCAGGTGCAACATCATCAAATTGGTAAACCCCGAATGGTGGACAGTTTTTCTCAGTTATTTTGTGAAGGAAAAGTAGCTTACTTGCAGTATGGATTATGTTCAGTGGCACAAAGTGGCCATGGGATTCATTGCAGGTATACAAAGTGCTTAATTCTAACACCATATTGTTGTAAAGGTAAGCTCACAGTTTTGTTCTGAGCTGGCATCTGAATAGCAGCTGTGTCTCAAAACCTTTTTTCGATTACCAGAGATCAGGACAGACATAAACTAACAGGTATTTCCACATTGACTGTTTGGCACAGTGCATAAATCAGCCAGATTTGCCACAGAAGAACTTTGTTATTTCCATCTGCAGTTGTTTATGGAGGGGGTATGGCTCTGTTTTGAGAGGTCTCTTTCATGTACATGCATGAGAGCCGCAACTAGACCTCAAAGTCGAGCACAGAGCGTCTGTAACAACAAACATGACCTTGATTAAACCAGAGACACTACAAAGTATGAGCTGATGTGGAGATGGGTTGCAAAGATGCTTACAGAGAATATGCATTACAGTTGAGAAGCATCAGAATACTTCCAGGTAGCCTCATTGTTGTTCTGGCCTGTAGTGAACAGTAACCTTCAACAGCAATGTTATAGTAAAACTAAGATTTTAAAGTGTGTGCTAATACCACAGTGTCCATGGTGCACCCAAAGCTGCAACACAGATGCCACAAGAGCATGCAGCCACTCTGTCTCTCACCCTTAAATGGGTGGTTAAAAGGAAAGGTCGAGTGAAAAAAAAGCAAAAGGCTGGAAAAAAATGGGGCCAGTCAAGGACCAGGTCATTGAATAAGACTCGTTAACACACACTTAGACTAGTTGTATTGGTACAACTTGTGCTTAATTTTACTAAATTTCTGTGTGTGTGTGTGTGTGTGTGTGTGTGTGTGTGTGTTTTACTCTTTTGCTTGATGCTAGAATATAATCTCCGTTTAAAAAGCTGTTTGGCCTTTTAGATTTGTCGGTGTTATGATTGTGTATTGATAGTGGGTCTAAAGTTAATTTATAGATATTGCATACCTTGAAAATCAGAGTTCAGATTACTTTTGTAATGTGGATAACTTCCATCCAAGGTGAACATACTGGACAAATTTCAGTGCAAAACTGTTGCCATTCACCCATATTAATGTAATGTAAACCATGTCATTTATTTCATT